TTCTTTCACAGAGATAGTATCGTCTCCTTATTCCGTCATTCGATATTGTTATTGCACATTGTACCGCACGCTACACTATCTGAACGCAAGTCGTATTAAGTATATGGAGAGCTCAAACATAGAAGAAACTTTTCACATTATCTTCACTTTGCTATCGTAGGCTTCTCGTGATACCTGATAACACTGATCGAGATGCTCCACAGAGCATGCTGAACTTACCGGTTTACTTCCCAAAAAAGTACTCGGAGCGAATACGGATAAAACCGCGATGAGTCGGACACCATCTAAGAGATCAGTCTTCGACCGAATACGACTGCTAGCTAACATACGGACACTATCTATTAGATTAGCCGTGGTGCAAATACGAATGACAGCTCACATAATGGACGCAATCTATTGGATTAGAGCGACGAACCTCAAGCACTGTTCGTAGTACTGACAGTGCTTGAGGTACTTGAGGTGGTGATATTCCGCGTGATTGTCAGTATTACTGACAATCATGCGGAAGATCACCGTGAGGACAAAGCCGTTGGCAAAGGTATTCACTCGACCTGGCCGAATTAATTCTTTGCCAAGTTTGCCGAGACGGCCAAACTCAACGAGGAGGTTGAACAACGTCATATGACCTTGTATGAATCGGTCAGTGCTCTCCGATCGTCGTATCTATATAGAGATCCTTCTTTTCGATGGAATGCTCTGACCAAAGCTCGAGTTCCATAATTCATCGACATCGATGGTAAGGCAATGAGTGTGTTATGCACAACGGCGGTGATCGATAGCCGCAAGCAAGTTAGATTCCCAGTTATTGTAGGTGAGCGCTGCGCGTAACGACTGGGAGAGTTTCCAACTTTCCCTGAAATCCTAGAACGAACCGTACGACGAACACATTCCTTAATCTTCAAAACTTTCTTAATGGGGATCCGTTGACCCGAGAATCGGGTCCCGATTCGGAACTCCCGAATGATCAACGACTTCCTTCGAGCTTTTGCGGCAAGAGTCTTGCCACTACGAGTCAATACCATCGTGACTGTTTAGCACAATGCCTAACGCGTATACAATACCGTAACTAATCCCTGACTAAGATACCGTTCAGAAGAAACTTAGCCACTAGCGAATGATACACCTCAAATCACAGTAAATCACTCATCACTAATCGTTGGACCTGGGATCAGGTCTAACGTAGGCAAAGGAGTTAAGTTAATAATTTCGATTATTTCAATTGGTTCACTTACAGACGCCTAATGATTAGACCCTAATCCTAGGGTTCACGCACCCCAAGGAACAGCACTCATGCACAAATCTGTGACGCGAATCATGTAGGCTAGCCGCTAGCACAATAGACAGCATAGACCAAACAGCAAATATCGTAGCAAAAGTACAGTAAATACCATATTACAAGACACAAATGAACCATAACAGTCAACAGATCTCCGTGCACTGCGCCGAACCGTACAGTGCTCAACAGAATACCAGTGGCTCTGATCATCACCATCATCATGGCCCATCATTGATGGTTAATTGCCATTGGTAATGGTTGTGCTCACTGCCAGTGAGTCACTGGAGCGGTAGTGGTCGTGAACATCATCATTGTGATGACAAGCCAGTAGTGGCGTTCACGGGACTGGTGGATCGGAGCTTGATGCGCATCGGCTCGTTGTGCTCATTCACTGAGGAATCCTCAGTGGATGAATAAAGAATCGTACATGTGAACGGCGATGACCCACGAGACACTTCAGGGCACTGTGCACTGCACAGTGTGCAGCGCCTCGGCAGCGTTGTTTGTTCTGTGTCGCATGCCTGCTGGAGCCGACCAGTATAATATACCGATACTATCGGTCCGATAGGATATAAGAGACCAATTGAAACCGAGAAATTCTACACCTGAGAGAAGCAGAGCGACCTCAGATCGCGTCCAGAAATTGTAGCACCTCATACTCCAAGCAATTAATTCACGGCGTGAATTGGCCCCTCGCTCCATTACAATCATCTATAGAAGTGAACCAACGTTGAGACTTGATATAATGATCTTGTACAAACTCCAATGACTAGTGTATGACCTCACCCTCGGAGACACTGGCTAGAAGGGGGTCTCGTTCTCGAAAGACAAGACCAGCGCAAACTAACATTATCAAACCATCACTAGGCCGCCCCCTGGTCTGCAGCCGGGTGGCCTTTTGTTAGACTACATGATAACCGGTCACAATATTAGATGGACAGGCTGAGGTATGCATAGTTCCTTGAAGGCACATTACGTCGGGGAATACTAGATGATGAGAGATGATGAAGAAAAGCCACATATAATATATGTCATATATTAAGGGACATGATCGTATACGACCTTCTCCGTTTCCGAAGAGGCCTGCCTGCTCGACGACGTCTCCTTCTGCAAAGCCTCCCCCGTATACGTGCCAGACGAGGGCTAACAAGGGTAGGTCTTCGCCTTCGGTTGCCCGAATTTCGAGTCACCTTACGGTGCCCTCTACCACGCGACGTAGACGCATTCGGGTTCATGTGGGAGTGCTGGACACCACCGATTTGGTGGCACCAAAACAGGCATGTGCTCATCCGTGCCCCATAAAAATGAGAGTCGATAGCCAGGGCGCGCGCTGGTCGACCCATATTTCGCAACCCTAAAATCACCTACTTGGCAATCCTTGTGCAGAAGACCAACTTGGCGGGACCTGTCTATGTGCAGTTATTGCCAATACTGAAGTTGGCGGAATGAGAACAACACGCAGATTACTGCACATCTGTTGAATTTTGCAGAATCCACCAAATCTTAGTCCAAATCAGTTGTAGAGTAACGTATTTCATCACATTGTTGTAATCTGTTCCAACACTGGTATCACCTATAATTCCTGTCATTAGGCCTGCGAATCTGTTTGGCGTCATTTTGGCGATTTCTGAGTTGGCGAAATCTGATACAGCCAGCTATGACAGGTATTATTCACATCTGGTGTGTGGTAGAGGTTGCTGTATGCATCACTCACTCAGTGGTGAGGAATGTGTTACTACTGAGCATATGCTGGCTTGTATTCGGACATGTATGCATCATCGATGCTTCAGTTGTGATTCTTAAAGATTTGCGTTGAAGTAGCGTTGCTCGGCAACTGAGATAGGACGGTTGGTAGGGTATTGTGTTCATGACTGATAGCACTGAGCCGTCAGTGGAGGACTACCTCGTCCAGTATGTGGTAGTACGAAAGGATCTCATGAAGGATAAGAAAGTGTGGAATCAAGGAGCTATCATAGCTCAGGTAACGCCCAGTGGAATTGGTTCAGTACCATGTGGTTATCGTTTAGGCTTGCCATGCATCAACCGCGGCAATTTTCGAGAGTATGAATGACCCCAATACAGTGAAGTACCTATCCGATATAGACAATATGACGAAGTGCGTGCTGAAGGCTGATGACGAGGCAACTCTCCGTGGTCTATCCGAGGTAGTAGTAGGCCTGACTCACTGGTGCAAGTCTCTGTTGCCATTCAACCTTCGTCTGTAGGAGCTCACGACGGCTAAGATTGCCCATAAGCTGTGGATAGAGCAACCAGAGGATATCCCAACCGCTCTCGCCACTGCTCCTGCGTACAAGTCTTGTGTCGGAGGCTTCTTTAGAAATCTCAAGTTGCTTCGGTGATGAGTGGACTTGGTGTTCGAGGGGTTGTTAAAACACAGTTGGGATGAGCTGTTCGGTGATGCTCTGTGACGGAATACTACATACTTGGGAGAAACGACTCTGCGGGGAATCTAACCTGGGCGTATGAAATTTTCAGCTACGTCAACCTGATCCTGGACTATCAAAAACGAAAAAACGGGACCTCCATTACGAGAGTCATCACATGTCAGCGTGTCGAAAAACCGTAGGGCTGCAGTTCTCTTAAGAGAATCCGGATAGTCGTCTGGGTGACCCTGCACCGTGAGCGTCTGAGACGATCATAACTTTCTCCACGCACCACGAAAAGGACTCAGTTTTGGCGTGTCTATTAATCATGATGTTGGCCGTATTGGCGCGAAACTCCCACCCAAAACGGACTTCTTTGTATTCACGCTCACGAGGTTTTGAAGCACCCTCAACATATTAGGGTACAGCGCGTCAAGAGTATTGAGCGTCTTGACTCAAAACTCGCGCAGTACAATTACAATCGAAGTGTTGTCGGCTGCATCCCGAGTAGCGACCATAGCGGATACGCAGCACTCTACACGAATAGCTATTGATAAGGATGAAGGTGCAATGGTAACATCCCTGATAGCGGCATGATCCAGCACCCAAGCTATTTTCCTGCGTCTCTCCTCACGGGTTATGTGCAACTCGAGTACCCCTAATACTGGTTATGAGGGCCCATGAGGTGCACTGAGAATTGAGAAGACTTAGGAGCGTGAAATGGAGGGTAACGAAGAAGCCTTGGGCAGGCTTTAAAAGCACTTGCTCCTTAACCTAAAGTGTACCTTTTTTCTCTTGAAACGAGAAGTATCACGTAATCTGAGACACTTAGTCATGCCAAACAGCAAATCATCATAATCTTTCTTATTCAGCGAACTAGATCTGATTGTGACTGGTCAGACACATTTGTCGGACACAACAATACTCACTTGGATGGGTCTGCGGCAGACTGACGGCAGGGTATCTCCGGCTCACCGAGCCCAGTCGAGGTCCAAGGCCAGTGATCCTCAAGTTGGACTGCTGCTCTACCTCCAAGCTCAACCCTTCCAGTCTTCCTAGTAGGAAGAATCAAATGAGGACCTACAGAGTAGGAAGTTCCTATTCTTCAGATCCTCGTCTCTCGGATCGACTGAGTCGAGCCAAGAGAAGGGAGTCGAGTCGACTCTCTTCTGGACCCCGTCGTTGGCGCGATAATGCTGCTGTGTAAATGCGCTCAGTTGAGGGATTACACCCTTGAACAGGCCTAAAGTTTTCGGAGACAAGCGAAGTTGTATGAAATAATCTGAAACGGGCGTATCTTTTCGCTGGAGAGCACGAGTGCTCAGGGATTTACCATATTAATCTGGCCATGCTAAGTCCTGTTGGCGCTCCAGTTAACCAGCCGATCTGCAGCGTTCGCATCCTAACCGAATGAGAATCTTCATCAATAACGCCGATACTTACGTTGGAAGTGCGCTATGTGCTGACCTGCAAAATATTCTCGAGACACCTACTAGGATTTATGCTACCCTAAAAGGAGGGGAGGAGTGCCAGGTGACGGCTCACCGTGCAGTCGTCGCTCGCGGACTGGATCGGTCAGGTCCCTCTGCCAGTGAAGAGGATAGTGTCTCGTAGAGACCACTGTAACATCCTCAAGGCTACCGCTCAATCACAACTGGCTGTGTAAGTTCAGACCCATGGAAGTGTCCCTCAGCACACGTATGTTATTCATTTCAATCCTAAGGCATCACCGTGAGCTTGTACGTGTATTATTTGATAGGTTCGATCTTCACAGTAGCGATCTTGAAGAGGTTGACTTTGTGTTAAGAAGACTTAAGTCGGAGCCGATAGATCAGCCGCTGGTAGCACTCAGTTTCGTTGTCCTTCGGGTTGCTTGTCCAACAGGTATTGATATTGATATCCAACGTAATGGTCTGGGCAAAAACCAAGCCAAGCAGTGTACGTTCTGATCACTACACGGGGGATGACGATGACTATGTTAGGTCGACGAAGATGCTGGTGAAGCGTCTGTGTCTGAGTCAGCGCGCGATGATGCTTCCGCTGCGGACCAGTTCACGACACCGACCCTTCCCGTAAAGTTACCTCGCATGCTCATGCTAGATCATAGTGGATGGCGTCGAGGTATTCACAGATGCCGAGTGGTGCAGACGGGTGCCTTCGAGTCGCTATTGGAGTTGGAAAACACTGGAGACGTTAGCTCTATCATTGAACTCCGTGGAGAACATTACGTCGTGAGTAACTCCGGGGGTAACACTCACTTCTGTCTGGAATACGATTCAACTTGAATCTTTGAGAGGCCTCCGTGTTGCGGCAAGAGCACCACCTCACCGTGTGAAACACATGAGCACTAACACACACTGTGAAGGTCTACCATGGATGCACTCGCGACTTGTCGGTTGGATTGATTAATCTGTAGGTACGTCGTTTGCTCGGGGATACTCTACGGGAACGGTGAGATGGCATTGTAGGAAGGAGTGGTCAGTGCTGAGTGATTATGCTTATGTATGGTAGGTACGACGACTTTCGTGCGGCCTGGTTGGGACAGGAGACCCATAGAATCATCGGCGACGGCGACAACATCATACCGACTTTACACGTGAGTCATTCCGGGCCGACAAGGTAGAGTTCGGGATCGCACCTCTGAGGTGCGATCTTGTGGGACATTCAGTGGTAGGATAGAGCCGTAAGCTACCTTCTAGTGCGGACAGCTTGTTGAGCTGCCCAGAGGGTGAAGTGTATCATTTCCTTCATTCCAACAAACCTTGAAGGCCTTTCGTCCTGTTGAATGTGAGCCGGAAAACGGCCTCACTCGTAGATGATTCTTGGGTACATTACTTCAGAGTCTGAGACTCAGATAGATTAGTATGGGTCCAAGGACGTTTGTAGATCTCCGCAGTGGAGCCTCCACCGTGGAGGTTTCTCCTCCCATATTTAACTCCCGAATTGAGGATCACCCCGGAAATTTCATCGACGCCGATCACGGAACCGTACCGCCTGGCTTAAGGTACGCGACTTGGCCAGATGCGTGAAGCACTTATCTGCGGCAACCGAAAAACAGCCGTAGGCTTCCTTGTCCTGGCTGCAGCACCGCACATTCTCCATCATCAGTTACATTGTAGCGGTTGATGAGAGTTTCACTGACCAGAAGGGAATTCTCACAGCCGTCGTAAACCACCTGGGTGAGAAAGTTGCAATTCCGCGATTCAACATGAGCTTTATAGGTGCCGGCGTCCCGATTCCAAGTATTTCGCGCGATCAAGCGGTAGCTTGCCTTGACGGGCGTGAGGTAGGATGTGATAACGGCGGAAGGCTTCTCCTAGTCGGCGTTTCGCGAGTTTCACCCACACCAGATCCTCTACTCATGTGTCCTGAGCGCATGCCTGTTCGATTGATTCTCATCACCGTGTATTTATCATCACGTTCTGAACCACATCCGTCATCAACGGAGTACTTGATTGAGTGTTTGCCTCGCTTTAGCCTTTCCTCCTTGACCTTCGTTTCCGTGCGTCGGATTTCTTGCACCAACCTGAATTCTCTTGGTGGAGTAAGGAGGGCCCTGTGGCTGCCATTGAGAAGCTCATCGAAGAGTAATCACTGCGTTGTGAGCGATCAATGATGGCAAGCTATCCCCGCAGATTCTGCACTTGGAGGAACTTGCGTCCGCTGAAGTTAGTTCTGATTGGACCTCCAGCCTCAGGAAAATCTTTCTATGCGACGAAGGTTGCCGAGAAGTGGGCGGACCTTTGCCCAACTGGCTCGGAGACGTCGTGTGTCAGCTATCGCCTCGCACACATAACCGTTGGGCCTGTTATCGAAGGAGCATTGAAACGGGGTAGGGAGGTGAAGGAACTGATTGACCCGGAGAACCAGGAAGACGGGATAGAGGCAGTGGATGTTGACTCTCTGCTTGAGAAGGACCGGTATGGCAAGTTTACGATATCCAATTTGCTGGGCTCGTATGCCGAGCTCATCCACGAGCTCTGTGGATAAGCTTCTGGTTTATCCACTGTATTGGCGTCGGAGCATGCTAGTTCTACTATGACGGACTCTTCTATCACGATCAGATTTTACCTTGCATTCCTTGAGCAGTGGGAGAAGCTTCAGACGCCTCGCTCCACTCCGAGACTCCCTGCACAATTGGTACTGAAGTTCACCAGCTTGAGTTTTGTACTTGAAGGGTTTGCTCAGATATGTCGAGCAGTTCGCTATGTGCTGGAGGAAGATAACGCTTGCAAGTTCAGAGGGTGAGCCGTCATGTTCGAGCTTTCTGCGTATGTGCATAATACAGTTATGTTCTCGATGGGTTCCCACGTACTGCGGAGGAAGCTCATGAGCTGTTCATGACACCGTCAGAAGGGGACGAGGAAGTTGAAGGACAAAATGAAGACGATGGGGCGCCGAGGAAGTTCGCGATTCGCTGCTGGGATCGAGCAAGCTCGAACGGTGGCCTCAGGCTCATCGTAAACGATGCCATACGTCCTGCATGGGCGTTCCTACTCGATAGCAACCTTGAATCGTGCAGGTGAGGTATACGGAACGAGCTGTACTTCCTATCTTTCAATCCAGATCACGTCTTGAAACCCTCGCTGAAGTTGACGTGGCGGGAACGCATAACACTGTAGAGGACCTTCAACGTCGTGCCGATCGATGGTAGTGGTCACGTCATCGGCACCATCCTTCTTCGCCTAGAGATCTGGTGTAACTTTGTGGGCCTCACCCACAGCCCAGTGTCTGAGATGATAATGTTCGTCTGGTCATTGGTTGACACTAGGGCAAGTTACTCGACCTTAATTTCAGGAGGAAGGAGATAGAGAGTCATGGTGAGGTGACGGTCCTGGATGCCTTGAACGGTGTTTTGGACGGGCAGATGGTCTGTCGGGAGATCAGAGTAGACCATTTCGTATCGGATTAGTGCGCAATCTCCTGTACTAGGTGGACGGCGTTGATGCTGATGATGTTGTTGATATAATGGCGCAGTGTATCGAATATGATGGATGTAAGGCGGTGGGTTCGAACTTCGACGTGGTGCACAACTTTTCCGTGCAGCGCGAAACCTCCATGGACTTTATCACGTGTACCAGGTCCGTACAACTATCTTCCGTCCAAAAGGGATGAGGTAGAATCGAAGACTATCGAGATGGAACATGAGGAGCTCCGAAGGAAGGAAGCAGAGGTAGGCCCTCGGTCACTGCTGATCGATAATCATCGCGGCTCCTCAGACTCGCGTCCGCGAGGAGGCTCTTGCGAAGGAGGCGGCTGAGATCGAGATCAGGAGATGTAACCTATTCGCACTCGTTCACTTCTTTCCGTTTCCTCGGTCCAGTCCATATGCGTGTCAGGTGCTGAGGCTGATCGTCTGAAGCAAGTGAGGGATAATGAACAGCAAATTCTGGAGAAGTATAGCAGAAGTTTACGCGAGTGAGTTGTCCTGAGGCTCTCAAATTGGGGGATTGCTGTGTCAGTTACCTCCTTGATAACGTCGTGCCGGTTCTGAGAGAGGGGATCATCGAAGCTTGCGAGAAGACGCCAGAGGATGCAGTTTCTTTCCTAGCCGAGTCGGTCGAGCTGACGGAGTCTCCGTCACGGAGAGTTCTTCCCTCGAGTTGTCTTTCTTTTGTTCTATCTTCGAACACTTGCATAAGGAAAGTGGCGTTCCGATAAGCAATGCCGGGAACATTCGATTGATCCATTGCACCCTACGTTGTATTGCACATGAACACGTGTACTGTACACGTGTTGCTGATTCACGACAATAATATGTACACGGTGTCCATATTACCGTCGTCAGCTTTAAAGTAGAATGTAGCTTCTATAGTAGAGTTTTAACGCTTAACCGGATGGTTGCTACTCGTAACGAACGGTGAGTTAATCGGGAGGGCATTGTTCTCTTGGGTCCCTGATGGGGTGGGCTCACACTGACAGTCGCAACAACATTCTTTACTGCAGGTCTTTGTTCGTTTGTTGAGTACAATCTCAAACTCTCGAACTGTTCAGGTATCTGTTCCACCGCTCAGTAACGGCTGGAGAGGGGAAGAAACCTGCTGAAGATTCTTCAATGGAGAGTAGGATCTAGTGACGGGATCTGCCCGTTGTCCTCGCCATGATTCAGTGTGAACATGCTCTCTAGTGAATCGCGTTTAGTAGTAGAGTCGCGGTCTCTCGATGGATGCACTAATCGCGCCTGTTACTCTCCTGAAAGGACTCCGTCGCCAAGCAGTACTTATCTTCATATCCCACAGCACGTCCGGGTCGTTCGATCACGTATTCAATCCAAGAAGTTAATTAGAAAGTTCATTGGAGCTTGTAATTATGCGAACGTACATGGAATCACTTTTCGGCGCCTCCAGAAACAAGGAAGTCCACGTTTGAAACGTTTGTTATCGACGGTGAAACCGCGACGGCCGGGGACATTACCTATGCCCCAGGAAATCCCAGCTAGCTTGCAAGCCAAGGGTATCCAAGTTCTGCGACCCGCGTGAACCTTAGCTGCTTTTCGTCTGTTAGTTTGCATCGATGCTTGACTCACAATCTCGGTTGGCCAACGACTCCTCAGCTCAAACCCTCTGGAGACTAGTGTGCCTGTCGAATCCACGCCCATCTCGCAAAGAGGGGTCAAGCAGCTGCACGAACGTAAGTTCACTTTTAAATGGTGTCGAACGTTTTGGTGGTTTGCTGTCGCCCTACTAACTCTACAAAGTTTTTTGCATGCGGATGATCTTAATCATGGCGCTGCGGATCTCGGTCTGAACTTAGGTAGAAGGTTTGGTAAGGGTAAACTCATCAAACGTGTTTCTCATTTGCTGGGAGATTATTGGAGCGGCTTAGTAAGTGAGGCTTTACAATCAGAAGTTTCCAATGTTTTACGTATATGTTATGTATTCTGTATAAAGCACCTGACTTGTTGTCTATGTTGACACACACGATTATTTTAATAGAGAGCACTACAAGATTTAATAATGGTTATAATTTTCCAAGTGTGTTTCCTCTGTACAATGATGCTATTTCAATTGTGACGGAGTACATTATAGCTTTATGGCCTAGTTATGGTCAGCATTATCGTATCCAGATGATCTTCGGAAGGATCGTCTACCTGATGCATTGCATCACCATGCTTATCCTTCATATAGAGATAATACGATCGCCCCCTGCTTAGGTGAAGTGGATGAGGAGGCTTGCGATCACCCTGATAACTGTATTGCATTGGATACCCAGTCTATTCGTCACTAGGTAGTATGTTCACTTCATTTTGTATCGTAAAGAGAATCCACGGGAACCTTGTTCTCATCGGCAGTATCGTCAAACTAAGACTACAGAGACTATTGGAATAGTATTCTCATAGTACACTATATGAACTTCGGAATATTCATATGGCATTACAAAAATTGTATGAAGATATAACGCAGGCTCCTTATCATGCGATGGACAACAACTACGGACTAAGTCCGTTTGACAATTTGCCTTAATTTCACTTCAGATGCCTAAATACGATAAACTTACCTCACCTATTGTTTTTCAAGTATTAAATATTATATCTACGATTATGGTTCCGGCAAATTGCGAATTTAGCTTTCGTCCCGGATGCGGGTTCTCCTTTTCTGCTGATACGTGTCGTTCTTTTGTCACAGCTGAGTTTGACAGTATTGAAACATCGTTCATCTATCTATTCTACCGTAATTTGAAAGACTTGAGCAAATTGGTATCGATTCGCAGGTTGTTAATCTAGTTCAACAAGTTAACAGCGCTATGTCGTATGAATCATACGGTATGATCAGTCGTTAAACGACTGAGTCGTTACGACTCAAAAGATTGTATTATTACTTTTTGCGAGCCATTTTTAAGTCTTTTGGAGACGAAATATGCAATTCTATGCAATTCTTCTATTCTGAAGAACCCGGCTTCTCATTTGGAAAAATCCTAAGACAAAAAGATCTTAAAATGTAATTAGATGTAAAGATTAGATTAGAACGATCTTGAGATGTAAAAGATTCACGAGCTTAGGCGTGTGATTCGACTAGCCTTCAACTATCTTCCCTACAGAGATTCGCTTGAACAACTTAGTAAAAGACTGCAATCTAGATCTGCTTCGCTTATTTATTTTGTTGACGATACTTCCTTCAATCCGTTTGTTCACTCGGATAGCACATCTACTTCGGCTCCTACTGTTCTTCTAACCGTTACGAAGGAACTTGTTTACGCAAGGTATACGGAGAATTTCTCCGAGAGAATGAAGATTCGTCGAATATAAATGTACTCTGTTTATTTCCGACATCTAGAGTACAGCATATTTCATCATCGAAGGACAAAATCTACCTCAGTCTAAGGCAAATTTTGTCTGAGGCCCTTAGAAGGAGGCATTCCTCCTGAGCAATATCGAAGGTAAATGTAATCCAGTCTTATCATTTACAACATTCATGTTTTCAGTTCCTTTACCATCTGTGGTTTCTCTTGCTTGGAACATCCTGTTTTGAGTACATTTGTCTTAGATCGCAGGACTTCGGTTCCTCCTTCGTAGGTTACGATTGTCATTTTCGAGTTGATACACTTTCGTACCTTTTCGGTTGAGCCAGGCTACTGTGGACGATTTAGTGTTATTCCGTCGTACTTGGTCCTATGTTTGCTCGGGAAATACGTAATCTGAAGGCATCTATATTTGAGACTAATACTGAGCTTGATGTATTTAAAATTTGAATTTTAAATGCCTTTAATGCTAATTTATCGGATCTCGGTAAGTCTATTTACCTAGTATGAGTTATTCATTTGTTGTATGTCGGATAAAATGCCATTCTGTTACTGTCTACAAATACAACGTCCAAGGATCATCCTTGAAGGGTGTCAGCAATTGACTGATAAATGCCAAAAACTTCATAATGCTCCGTTGACTAACGACGGCTTATCTGGCAGAAGATCCTCTTCTTCAACTCATGCGAAGAAGAGCTGCCATTCTTCCGCTGGAATTATAAGGATTGTTGGACGTGATTCTCCTCTCGTCGTTCCCGGTGTAGTCTTGTGGGTCGGTTCTTCTATGTAGTCTGGTTGTCCTGTGTGAGAGCCAGGACCCTGTAGTTGGGTGGCTTGCGGCTGACGTGTCATTCATGTTCCTTGTTTAGGTCATTTCATCCTGCATCTCTGCTCCACCATGGCTTACCAACATTCCCAACCCCTTCTAGGGCCATCTGGTGAGCCCCCAATCCGGTACCAAGGCTATCAATTCCCTCGGGCTCGATAGCAACGATATGGACATTTCCAGTTTCCTTGTAGGCGGTACCTACTAGGTTACCTACAGCCAAGCGGTACCGTAGTACGGTACCGCTTGGCTGTAGAGACTACTACTCGTTTCTTCCATATTCTTCCCAGCCTTATTCCAAGTTGGAATTTCCAACCCATCACTCGCCAACCTGTATCACGTCGCTGGATTACAACGGACACATGCTACTCATTAGCATTGGAGTCCAATGATTGGACAGGTTAATGGCTCGCTTTGCGGCTTCTCTTAGTTGCAGCGCTGTGGATGGTACGTCTTTCTGCCAGATACTCTCGTTGCTGAGTAACGACGTCTAACTTATTCCTCGGATTGGGGCTGTCTCTCGACCTGTCGTCGTCCTCGGGAACTCTACACAGTCATACCCAACATATGGGTTGAGACTCCCGCTGGGGCCCGCATAGCGGATATCCCAGCGGCTGGGCTATCCGCTACGCGAGATCTATAGGCTTTAGCATTCACCAGGCAGCGAGGAGTGTTCCCGCGAGTTCCTAGCTATCATGATCGCCTTCAGGTTAGTCGCAGAGAGTGCTCAGGCTCGCAGTCCCCGTAGCTAAGGGTTCCACTTGCCGGCACCTGCGACTGATAAAGGCGAGCCACCCAACAAACGATCTGCTGCACGTATCAACCAATCTTGTCGGGCCAAGGAGGAACGTCTCCGAGCTACTGAGTCCAGTGACGTATGCCGACCGCCTGATTTGATGGTGACTCAATCTCCGTGAATGGTGTGCTATGCGCTCACTTCACGCAAACTGACCAGGCCCCTGGAACTCCCACTCGGCGTGACTGCTGCCGATTTCCGGAGGCGAGAAATCTTGTTAATCGGAGTGAGCTTACTGGACTGCCATGATGGTTGCATTATCGGCAGTGCCGACTCGGCACCGGATTCGGTATGGCATATCTGCCCCAGGCCGAACCGGCCTCACGAGCAGCGAAATTGATTCTTACAATTCGTCGAAATTGAAGTTACTTTGGTCGTGCAGACGAAATTGATCTCCCTACCGTGTGCTCCCGCTACTGGGCATATCTTGGAGTAGTGGCATAGGTGCCCCATCCGATGGGGGTGATCCTATTGGAGGCGAGACTGGCCTTTTATATGTGTAGAGTATGAGCAAGCTTCTTCTGCAATTGGATGTCTCCAAAATGATTTTGACGAAGTTACCGCGCAGTGTCCTCAGCTGTACTACAGCTGTACTGCTGTCCGTGGTTCCCCGTTGTGTAACTGCAGATGAAGCCTTGAGGCTCCGTAGTGATGATTGGTTGGTGTGAACATCACGATTGTAGTAACGTGATTGGATTAGGATGATTTCAAGCCGCCGAAGCGACTGGATAGAGCCGATCGTCGATTCGTGACGAATCATTCGTCCACGACTTTCCTGGATCCGAACGTTGAATCAGTGGTACAGGATTGCGAAAATAGCGTTCCAATGGCCAAGCCCACTGCTTATTCCGTAAGTCCGAGTCGCTTCCAGTTCCAGCACTATACTGACTCGATGTGAAATCGTATTTGATCCGAGCTCCTGACGGCGACTCGCCGTCAGCGAGTACCCTAACGTGACACATTTATAGGGACAAGAATTGTGTCCACACAATTTCGAACTAAGGGGACAACTATCTTACGCTGAGAGCTAGTAACGAATGAGCATTTGTTCGTATCGTTTAATGTCATTTGTATGTTTCGAAGTAAAGGCGGCCTAGGACGTAGATAGTGTTCTCCCTTTTTAGTTAATTTTTTAGTTTCTGTTAAACATGTCAAGCCCTGTTGAGAATTGGCTTACTCTCGATTTCGACAAGAACACTCGTAAGGAAGCTCAAGAGCTCACCCCCGAGGAGATCCAAGATCGCTTAAATCCTGATCATCGTATGGAGTTTGGTACCGCTGGTCTTCGTGGCGAGATGGGAGCTGGCTTCAACCGTATCAATTGTTTGACTGTGATGCAAGCTGCTCAAGGATTATGTATGCAGTTGATCGAGAGGTTTGGTGAAGATGTTCTCTCCCAGAGGGGTGTTGTCTTTGGTTATGATGGACGACATAACTCTCGTCAGTTCGCCCATGTTGCCTCGGCTGTCTTCATCACGAAAGGTGCCAAAGTCTACCTTATCGATAAGACCAGTGTTACTCCTTCTAATCCATTCTTGATCGTTCATTTCCATGCTCTAGCCGGTGGTCAGATGACGGCTTCTCACAACCCGAAGCAGTACAATGGTTTTAAAGTGTACGGCGATAATGGCGCTCAGATTATTCCTCCAGTTGATGCTGAGATCGAAGCCAAAATTGCTGAGAATTTGGTTCCATGGAGAGATGCTTTGGAGTTGTTGGATTTGGATACTTGCCTGTTGAAGGACAAGTCCAAGACCATTGATCCTTACAATGATGCTCTGTACACTTACATCGATCAGATGCATCACGAGTTGTGTCGATTCCCCGACCTCAACAAGGACTGCAATTTGAGGTTCGTCTACACGGCTATGCAAGGTGTTGGTCTTCCGTTTGCGACCGGTTTGATGGACAAGTTTGGCTTCCCGAAGAAGTGTGTGTCGATCGTGGAAGCGCAAGCTCATCCTGATCCTGAGTTCTCCACTGTCGCCTTCCCTAATCCTGAGGAGAAGGGTGCACTCGATATGAGCAAGCAACAAGCACTTGATGAGGATGCCGATTATGTCTTAGCTAATGATCCCGATGCTGATCGTTTCACCTCTTGTGAGAAGCAGAAGGATGGATCATGGCATCAGTTCACTGGTGATGAGCTCGGTACCATCTTTGGTGATTGGCAGTTGCTGATGGCCCATCGTCGTGGTGTCGATCCGAAGAACTGTCTCGTCATCAATTCTACGGTGTCCTCCAAGATGCTAAAGGCGTTGTCTGATTATTACGGTGGGGTGTATGAGGATACCTTGACAGGTTTCAAGTGGATGGCCAACAAGTCGTTGGAGATGACCGCTGAGCACCCCAACTTGGTACACTGCACGGCTTACGAGGAGGCATTAGGAAGTGCCCTCACGATGAGCGTCCCTGATAAGGATGGTATCAGTGCTTGCAGTGTGTGGTGTGAGATGGCTAACTACTGGCGTAAGGAGAAAGGTATCACTCTTCTTGAACGCCTTGATGAACTTCGTAAGATGGTTGGTCATTTCGCTCAACACAATGGTTACTTCATCTGTGATGATCCCAAGGTTATGAAGCAGATGTTCGATGAGTTCCGTAATGGTGGTAACTACAAGAGCGAGTTAGGTTCATCTAAGATAGCTGATGTTCGTGATGTGACTCTTGGTTACGATTCAAGGAAGGAAGATAAGAAGTCTACCTTACCTGTGACACCTGATGCTCAAATGATTACTCTCTACTTCGCCGATGACGCTACTGTTACTATTCGTGGATCTGGTACTGAGCCCAAGGTGAAGTATTACTGTGAGGCTAACGATAAGGAGAACATGGAAAAGGCTCAGGCGAAGCTCGAAGTCGTTGTTAAAAATGTCATCGACTACTTCCTCCAACCCAAGAAATACAATTTGGGTAGTCGATAAAGGATTTGTTACTGTGCCTTCCTGATCCCAGAGAATTCTGGGTTTCACTCTGGTGTGATTCATCATAATAAAATAAAATTAGAATCCCTCTCTTCGCGGATTCATTCTTCGTTGAATTCTTTATTAAGAGCAAAACAGTGATGTTGTGTTCTCGATGATGATGGTCAATTCTAAGCGGAAGTCTTAGCGATACTAACTAATCGCCAATGTAATGTATCACGCATGCTTGCTTGGCATTCTGTCCGAACATCGGATTAGTATGTAGGTAGCTTCGTTACCGTCAAGCTCAACCTTCTGATTTCTGCTTTGTATATGTTCACATTTTCTATATATAGTGTCTCGAGCTCATAAGAGGATAGCGCACCGTAGGTGTCACTTGTTGGTGAAATTCGACTACTGGGCCACATAGCACCATCTATCTCCATGGGTGTCCATCGGATGACTGAATTTAACTCTGCTTTATGAATGACATTCCAGGAGAAAGAGGCAAGTATGCGTCATAGATGGGCAGCGTAACGTTTTTTACGGTTTACGTTACGGTGTGCGTAACGTAAGCAGTTTACAGTTACGGAAAGGCCTTACGACTCTACGGTTGGTGCTGAACAGCTTTGTTAGAATTGTGGCTGAAACATTCGCTGTAGTGCACTCCTCCAAAGCTCAAATAGTTATTAACTCATTTTTCTTGGCTCGAAATCAACCGAACCGCTGAGAGTGTAACACTTGGATTGGCATTTACCACTCGTCTCCTTTGCAAATCTCGCCCATCATACTCCCAAGCTGGCCCGCAGCTGCCAAGCCAGCTTCGTCTACCGATGAGCATTCACATAAAATAGATTCAGGCGACTTAAATGATCAATCCTCGTTTTGTCCTCTGGATCTCCGTAACGGTCCGTAACGTAATTCTGCCCATCTATAGTACGCATGCGTCGTAAGGAGGATCATAACGTGTCACCATAAGGATGTTAGTGCCGGCTAGCAGAGTCAGTAAATCAGCGCATACAATATTCCCAATGCCACTGTGGGTTCGAAGACGCAAGAACGCAATCAACGCCACTGAATTCTTTTTCATCTACATTAGCGGTCTCAGTCTTCATTGACTTTTTTTCACAAATGGATCTCTATGTGGAACAACCGGATAATCGAAACACTCTGATAACACGAGCGGCTTGATTTCATGAAAATCAAACTTTATCATCTTCAAAAACAAACCGGACTTGTTTCGGAGATGTTACGTGACCATACTGAGAGTATACAGGCTGCAGTATTTATCAAGTATTCACATTAACCTACAAACCGCATGTATTGGTCGTTGTCCAATGGCCGCTCCTTCTTCCTGGCACTGCTCAGCATCGACAGGAGCGACAAACAAACCTGCACTCACGCCGAGAAGGCGCACAATTCTCTTATCTCATCTACCTTATGTATTGTGAGCACAGGAGACCACTGCTCATACAAAATTGATAGGCAAATGTGGCCGTTGCTGTAAATGTGAGGGTGTATCGGCACCGCAGGTGGGACCTCGAGAGACCGCAGTAACTTCATCTGGAAGATCTCAACTTAACTTACGAATACGACCTCGGGCGAGTCGAACGGATAGTCCGCTGAAAACTTAAACCTATTAACAGCATTGAGAATGCTTTATCACAACGATGTCGGAATACCGTAGCTTGAAAGATTCCCCTTCATATAGGCTGCCTTTTGCACCGTGCATCGTCAAACCAATCACTGCGACATTGCCTGGCTGCCGTCTCATAGCGGAAACTCGACTGTTCTCTGACGGGCTCGATGAAGGCCACTCGGATACCGAAGGGTCAAGGTAGAGACCTACGAGAATCGCAAACGCTCAGAACACTCTTTCTATTCGTCGTAACACTGCAAGTGCACTCAGGGGGAGTTGATTACCATCTGCAGCGCCACGGTCATTGATCTCGTCTATCTCTCGCTCTAATCGACGCGTGAATGGTACTGCCATACTCCCGGCACAATACTATGATGTCGTTATGAGACTGCGAAACGATGCTCACAGTGAACACGGATGGTCTACCAATCAGCTCCTCATTAGTACTCGACAACACAAGCCGAAAAGTTAGATTCAGAAATCAACAACTGCATGACCACGCTTCGCGCAATATCACTGCATCACTATCAAAGTCTTTTTCCAGTGAACACTCAGACGAATTGAGCAATTCAATCATAACTCCTACCCTTGAGGAACAATAAACCGAACATCATCGTAAAATGAGAGATAGTAGCGTATCAGATAGGCAGATCAAACAGCAATTCAATAGAGGCATCAGCCTCGTGGCATTCGCAGAAACACCACAAGGCCTTCCCGTTAATCGTCTGCAGAGAGCGCACACTCCATATTTTCACATCATTTACAGTCAGGTCCCTCACAAAAACTTTCTCCCATGGTCACAATAGGGAGAGTAGCAATCACCAACTGACTGAAGCACGACCTGACCTTGGGCGGAAACCATAGTCGATACTTTCACACAGAAAGGAGGATGAACGGGAGGAATCAAGGTCCACGGCAACAACCACATCAATTAACGAAATGCTTGGCCTCTCGCCTAGGGCGTGCACTAAGAGCATTCCTAGCAGAGCGTAGCCGTGCCTGACTAGAAACTTCCACGTGAGTCTTCCCAACACAAAACTGCATCATATGGAAACTAGTTCCAGAATCATCCAAAGCGATACGATAAATATGATAATAAACGACGTCTGAATGGTATAGTAGATCGGGAGTCAACATTATCAGCCGATAGAACGCAGGAAGGTCAACGCCTAGACCGTGGTGCTTGGGGACCCTTAGCGAGGTAGGTAGTACTCTGGATCACCACCAGTCCACCAGTCAAGGCTGTTGCTACTACGTGGTCAGTCGGCCTGAGCAAAGATGTTATCGTTGTGTAACACCACCATGACCTACCCAGAGTGCCCAGCTCTAACACAGACAGCTGCAATGGGGTCTCCTGGCATCGGCTTTACAGTTCCTCCACCACTGAAAGAAACAGTCCCGAAGCATTCCCAAAAGAGACACCCACCTCAGTATACTGGCCTTACGCCTTCTCACTGGCCTCGTGATGGGTCTTTTTAGTTCACAATGGATTCGTACGTTACCTCCAGTGAAAAAAGCTTGCCGATGATGCTGCACTTCGGCAAAAGGATGCGTCCCTATCACTGAGCCTTGTACACATGCTTGAGATGAGCAGCCTACCAGTCATAGTGCTCATATGCGATCTCAAAGTCTTGGAGGCGTCCACGGCGGTGTAGCTGTATCGTGCAATGAGGTACTGCGTCCAGCGAACCAAATCATCCGAAGTGTTGATACCCTGAGAGTAGCTCCAACACGACTGAGATCCTCTCCTTCTCACCATGAGGAAGCCGTCGGTCCAAGCAGTGAACGCCCATGGAGTGTGAGCGGATGTGTGCAGAGCACTGCACGCTTGGCTATTGTAACCCTGCCGAACCTCTGGTCGCATGAATTTGCACTGAACATGAAAATCACACAGCGAATACAACCGCTTCCTCCTACCTGTAGCAGAGACCTGTTAGTTCCCGCCAAATCACAGCGGCGAACATCCAAACTCCCCGAGGGAGGGCATGTCACGTCGATGGCCAGAGCAAGCTGACACGCCAAGAAGACGTGCTGAGAGGGAAAACCATGAGGAACGGCTTTGCAAGGGGGAATGGGACTCAAGCTTACATCAGGGGCCATCCTAGACCAGCATAGGTCAGTCACCCAAAATTTTGCAGGGGAAGCCGCAGTAGCGAGGGGATAGGGGCACGACGTAGAAATCACCCATACAGAGCCATTCTCTGATCAAACGGTAGAGCGCGTGCCTTCTAATACGCCAACCCAGGTTCAAAACCTACGTGTTGCAACTGCAAAGATTTCCGGAGCTTCGTCGCTATCAGGCTCTACCGGAGCCCATTGGACCGCCAGTAACGGGGACGCCTCTCCAGAACAGCTCAGGATCGATAACGGCTTGCTCAAGACCTCTCTGAGAATACAACCACAATTTTAATGCCATCCAAACACCCAACACTTCGAGTCTAAGCAAGTTCTAGGCACCGTTGGTCGAAATAGGTCTTGCGTTCGACGAATTTGAAGTGTAATTTTTCAGCAGTCTACGAAAATCGAACTTTTATCTCGAATTTGAACTTTCATTCCGTGAAAAACTCCTTCCATCTTTTTTCTGATTCTTTCTTCCACTTAATGAGTTTGAAATTGAAAAGGTGTAGACAGTAGCGAGAAGGAGGACCCGCGACTCACCCGTGGCTGCCGCCAGTTTCCTCATCTACCCGGAAGATCGCAGCACACCCACTTTCAAGTCCAGCCAAGATCCAAACCTTATCACGATTCCGCATAGCGTGTATGCCCAAGCACTTCTTGCTCGGTCGTATCTCCGTATGAGGCCGCAGCTTGAGCACTGCTGCCGTTTTCAGAGAGGATGGGTGTAGTATAGAACTCGGAACAGTGTAGAGTACAGCATGGCCAGCACAGAACAGCACGCATAGAATGCCTGAGGACTCATGGAGGCCAGTGGTAACTAGGAAGGCACTCACCGATCCTTGTCGAGGTCGCGCTGAATTCCACCCAGTGGAAGTCTGCAACCTGGCCGCCCACAATCAACCGTCGAACGCTCTGCACCTTGTCCTTCTCCAATGGCCACAACTGAACGAAGAGGAGGTCTCAGCTTACAGCGATTAGAAGGTAGCGGTTGTACTTCAATGATGGATTCAGTGCGGGAGGCCAAAGCCACCACCATAGGCCTGGTCTCATAGGATGGCGACAGCGACATCAGTTCTTGCGATCGTCCTGAAGAGTCACATCCGAAAGGAGGATCTTAACATCCTCCCTTACCTGCATTAATGATCCATCCTTGGCCATCGACCCATGCCCCCTCCCCTGGCCTAACCTGAGCTGTGTCGGGGGCGGCAGGGTCAGGCACATGCTCGAACACAACTTCGAGGGGCTCGGCACTGTGAACTGCCTTCGTTGCTGCACTCGCGATATCTTCCGTTGTGATATCCTACGAAGAGGAATCGAAGACCTACAAGCCGACTGCTCACTTCAAAGGCACCCCGGCCAGCGCTCCATAGGGGAAAGAGGTCAGGTGGGTGAGGAAATGGCTCAGGCTGAGGCAACAGGAGAACCTTACCGATCGAGTTCAACCATAAACGCTTACAAGTTTGGGACGCGCGCTTCTGAGTGCGGTCCAAAACCGAGAGGTCATAGATTTGGGGATGATCGGAGCTCCACAGTTGGCACAGACCTTCCGAGCTGAGGGTTGGAGAGCGCTGCATGCATCACAGGCCTGAGAATACTAAGTGGACGGTACTGCCGCATGGTGTAGTAGCGTACTCTGTAACCCGGTGGTGGCAGCTCCTGACCTCTGATCGCTAGCGTGCTGACAGGCTCCGATCCGATCGGAGGGACTACTGTCAGAGGGCTTATTGGTAGACCGCCTATGACAGTCGGCTGAGGAAGGAAAAGAATAACAATAGAGACGAGGCTAGAGACTATGCTCACCACGGAGCCTTCGCGTCTTTTTTTGGTCGTCCCCTTGGGGGTCATTTCATGGCCGCATTCTGTGCACTGCATTTGACGACATGGATTTATAGTGCCGCATTCGGAACATGCCTATATGACAGACTAACAGGTCGCTGGGGAAGGATTCGGATTACCTTCTTGCCAGCACCAACACCCTTACTCTGCCGGCCCTTGCCTGACCCATTCTTGGCTCCCTTCGGCCTCCCGCGTTTCTTCGACAGGGAGCCCTGCGAAGATTCACCCAACATTTCATTGGGGAGAGGGGATTGGCCTTGGGTGGGGTTACTGAGTTGGGCGAAGGCGGCGAGAGCGGCTGCCTGATTAGGAGAAGAAATTCCGATAAAACATCGTCACCCAGAATTGAACATACAACCACACGAAAGCTAACTGGCGTTTATACCACTACACCAAATACTCCACACTACAATCATACAGAGAGAAGCCCGCGTATGCTCGAGAGAACTAGACGTGTCGATTGCCATCAAAACATCGGCGAAGCCTTGCTACGTTTCTTTACCACACCTCCGCCACCCAGCACTACCTCGAGGCCTGCATCGGTCGTCACTGCTTCTAAACCACCAAGCCCTTCTACTGCGGAACCCAATAAGCCTCCCATCTGCTCAGGGCTGAAGGCCACAGTGGGCTGCCCTTGCTGACCTCTCATGCCCGGGATGCTGGCATGAACACCCCCAGGAGGTGTAGCAGATGACATTGCAATGAACCCCCTATAGCCAACAATCAAAGTCATCCCTCGCATCCGCATGATACCGACTCTATCGACGACTCTGACGAGCCCTATGCGTGTCCTGATAAACTTAATGCTATATACATCACCCCGAAAGCCTCGACGTAACCCATTCATCGTGGACCATTCGACAGGGTTTTACCGCGGCATCGAGGATCGGCTCGTGCTGGCATTGCCAGCCTGGCAAACATGGTTGACCGTCAGACTTGCCTCGAAGAATCAACGAATTCCTACATAAAATTTCCTCATTTTCGATGGCCTCGCCACCCGTACGCTATGTGGCTAGAGAAAACAGTACTAATGCTTGCCACACGGGGTGGGGAGATACACATTTCAGCAACCTTTTGTTCAGATAGCCCAGATGTAGTCAGGCGTCTTTTTGAGCAACGTTGTTGATGCTGCGATTTTCGGGTTGTACACTAGAGAATGAGTGATCTCTATCGATCACTTGGTTAAACTACGGCACTTGGTAATGAAAATCAGTCAATCACAACGTCTGACTCAGAGGTCTCCAGTTCGAAGGAAAGACTATGTACCACCGCCACTAGCAGGAAGCCAATTGCATTGCCCCTTCCTTCGCTGACTACGCACATAGGACTCATTTGATAGGAGGTGACCATCGCGACGAGCGACTGGACTAAAACGCCCTATGTCACTGATGCTATGAAAGCCCACAGTTGTATATGATCGTGACTCGTGACGCGCAGAACCGTCACGCGCCACGAAATTCGCACGCGTTGAAATTTCCTTCGCGGTTGCCTAACGGGCAACCACTAATCAGAGTAAGAACGATATCATCATAGGCCGACACTCAGATAGAGGGTCGCCTAATTAAGGACGCCATTTGGCATGCATTCTTCTTACTCCCTTCCAAACTCCGGCTACTAGCCGTGGCAACCTCAGAGACTATATCACTTACTGGACTACTATCGTCTTAGTTGACATTAGCTTTAATAACCCATGCCCTCGACAGAGGCCTATGTCCCCTGTTTGCATGACCCTCAAGTGATACGAACGGCTATTATAAAACCACAAAGACTGGCCTCGCAAGAATCGGATCGTCTCGAGATCTCTG